CATGTTACTTTAAGAATCATATCGTAACTCCTGTCTCTTATACACATCTGGGGGTACTAGCTGTTGTTGTTGTAGTACATTTGATAACAAACATACAAAAAGCTCACAGTTAGTTACAGACGTAGCCTACATCCCATAAATCGGTAAGATTTTATAGGCCTGCCGTAGGTAAACAAAAAACAGTACAGTAAAGGTAATAGAATACTCGAGCGTCACGACATTGCGAAGTGCCTGCTCTTGTTCGTATATCAAACTCGAGTCGAATCAATCCGAGACGGCCCGAGTGGAGTTTCATGCAAATGTTTCGTACGGAAAAAAATATCGCGCACCGCGCACTGTAGGTTTATCTGTTCTCCACAAGATACTGTGCTTTTGTTTTCTGCTTACTGAGTTTATAGCGGGCGTACTTCTACCGCGCTGCGCAGCGCTGCACTGGGTAATAAAAAGAATATACAACCGTTAGTTGGCGTCCTACACAGGCATGACGTTTTTACGAACGGGACTTTGCTCTCTTGTTCTATTTATACTCTTTGGTAGTTGCTAACAACGTGACCACTGCTTGGGTATTTACCCAAGGTCTTGGGTATTTTGACTTGGTCTTGGGTCCTTGGGTATTCTGTTCAAATCCTTGGGTATTTTATTTTTACTAAGAAAATTAAATATTTTTGTCATAGAGGAAGAATTAAGAAGTAACAAACAAAGTATATTTCAGACCATACAAGTAAGCAAAACTCAAAGAAGTGCACATAACATTGTTAATTGACTGTTATTGCTATAAGCATGGGTTCAGAACTGTTTATTTGTGATTTGCGTTGCCATTGATATTACCTAATTAATGCATTACATAATAAAACTTGGTAACTGATCTACTGACAACACTACTGGCCAACTGAGGGCGTATTTTTCTATCAGTATTATCACCTCATGAATATTAATTTTAATAATTAACACAAACAATTGGCCTGCACTGAATAATACATAACTTTTATACAATACAGACATTGTAAAGTTGATAGGCTTAATTGAATTATTAATTATTTAAATTGTTACTTTACTAGCCTTTTTCAATCCACTGATGGATGTAGGCCTCCTCCTCATCATTCCTTCATTTTTTGTCTCTCCATCATTACCGGGTCACTGCCTATTGGTCTTCGGAAGTTGTGTGGTGTCCAGACGGTCGCTTTAGTGTTCATCGGTTGTCTTGTTCTCGCATGATATGACCTGCCTATTTCCATTTTAGTTATCTTACTTCTGTCATCACACATTTAATACCTGTACGAATTCTTAATTCTTTGTTGGATAACTTATCTTCCCATGTGACAACAATCATTTTTCTTTCCATTCTCCTTACCGTGCGCACAATAATTTCTCGACTTTCTTAGAGAGAGACCATTTTCACAACCATATGTAAATTGATACTTCTCTTCTTAGACACATTGGTAGCTAATGGTCTTTAAAGATGTACTTTAATTTGTCGAACTTAGCCCAGGCTAGGTGTGTTTTTTTTCATCGCTTTATCTTCGATTGTTCCCTCCTTCAAGCAGATGGCATTTTTCCGACTCTAAAGCTAATCGTCAACTATGGTATCTCACAATAAAAAAATAAAAAAATAAAATAAAAAGCAATAAATCTTAATTTCGGCAGTCATTTTGTGAACGTTTTTTAAATTTTATTATACAAACTGTCTCCTTACAGTATTTGTTTATCATGGGATTAGAATTCCGGGAAAATTCGTAGACCAAATACAGTATAGGCCATTTAATTTTTTTCCTTTTTGTGATCACGGCCTTTCCCTACCTCTATAAGACTTACTAAATTAGGCCTATGTATTATTTCAGTCTGTGTAGGCCCCATAAATTGGTAATATTCCAGGGATTCTACATGAAAACAGATTCCAGAATTCAGCTAAGTAAGACGTCTATATTAGTTTAAATCGTTCTTTGTTTCCTTATATGTATTTTCATTTTGTCTTTGCGTTTAATTATTTTGTTGAAGCCGATTCTACAAATCTGAGCGCAGTACACAAGACTTTAGGAGTTCACACTGTATACAGGATTTTCCGTATTCACGTTTACATCATGCTATTGAAACAATACAATACTGTTAGGATTGCTTTTTCTCTTTGCTCT